AGGGGGTGAAAGTTTTGGCGGGAAAACTGATAACTCGAGAACGAGAAAAGATAGAAAGCTGAAATTTTGAGGTCATGTTCCCCGTCCACATATAACTCAAAGATTTTAAATTCACCTCCCAGGTGTGCATGGTTCCCGCGTACAGCCCCATGAAAGTTCCTGGCGCGAAAATCGCTAGCTTGGGAACCAGAAAGGCTGGGAGGCTGAAATTTTCCAGGAATGTTCCCAACATAAGTACAAATTAGAAATTCCAAACCCAGCCGCCAGCTATGCTCCCAGGTCATATGCGGCCCTGTGAAAGTTTTTGTGGGAAAATTGCTAGCTCGGGAACCAGAAAAGCTAGGCGGTTGAAATTTTGATGGGATATACCCTGTTTAAGTATAACTTAAAGACTTCAAGTCCAGACCCCAGCTACGCGTGGTACTCATATATGACACTTGTAAGTTTTGTCTAGAAAATTACTCACTGAACATGCAGTTCATTTTCAAAAGCGACTGTTCGACAAAAATTATTCGCTTTCCTTTATGCAAAACTTACGATGATTTGCGCCAGTGAGGGTACAAGGTAAGTTTAGAGCAAGAAGCATTCGTATAGTTAAACCACCTGACTGCTTCAAGTTTAGAGCAAAAACCTGGTATGCTCCGGCCTAGAATTGCATAGGCATATATACAAAGACTCATAAAAATGCGGGAGAGTGCAGCGTTTAGCCAAGAACGAGGTTGAACTTGAGGTTCCATGGTTTATTCAAAGCAGAAATAGGAAAAAAACAAAACTTACAAATCGAGAGCAAACTATAATCACACATTTTACGTGCAAAATTAGTATATGGAATTTGGCTACAGCTGAATTAGACTGCTAAATACAAATTGTTAGTAGGGGCCACAAATCATTGCTCGTCAATTAGTTTAACTTACAGCTTTCTGGTTCAAAATCATTAGTCACATCCCAGCCATGATATTGTTTTTAGCGGTCCCCAGTTTCATCTTCAAAGTTTAAATTTGTTGAGGTTTTTTAAACCCTATAGTGGTTTATTTGCAACTGGATCTGACAGCTGGAGGTCCTTTGCAAATAAGCTCAGAATCTCAAAAAAAAAATTTATGAACGAGAATTATTTTTGTTGATTACCAAGTCATTAGATCAGAAAAGCAAATAAGAGAGCGTCTCCAGATGCACTGAGTGATGGAGGAAAATGTTTAATACATTCTAAAAATTGGTTTTAGGTCTTTTCTGAATCCAGGCTTTGATTTTTGGTAACTGCCCAATTTTAGCAACAAATTCATCCAGACCAGGATATTTCTTCAGATGTCCAGGCATCAGCTTGCCATCAAAGAACTGAAGCATGTTGAAGACAGCCAAATCTGCCACCGACAGCTAAAATTTTTCAATCTTAAACGTTTAAGAAAGAGTGATTATTTAGCAAGAAGATGTTATATGGCGGTTTCTCACACTTTGACTTTTTGTTAATTACAAAATTACTATAATAAAATTCAGTGAGCAAACGTGTAAAATTAACCTTATTTCCAACAAAATATCCAGTACCACTGTTGGCCAGAAACTTTTCGTAGCGCTGCAGGAATGGGCTGATTTCTTCTTCCATAAGTTTTTTGAACATTTCAATCTAGGTTTTTAGAATGCGGTCAAAGCCAAATTCTCCTCAAATATAAGTCAGCAGCTTATCAGTGGTTCAAAAAATATGACTTGCAGCATCTGTTTTTCCTCAAAGAACCGATCCAGCCCTCTGATTTGACCCGGAGCATACAAAAACGCGTACTTTAAATGGATATTTGGTTGCTTTTATTTTTTCGAACTTTACCTTTTTGGTGTCATTCTGTTCATGGATCCATGGTGAAAGTTTTTGCATGAGATCTTCGAGACCCATAATCAGCTCATCAATCTTTGCTGCTTCCCACTCATCCGCTCCAAGCAAGCCTGTAAATTCAAGCAAATAATATATTTCGTGTAAGCATCTCATAAATTTTCTCCTTTAGCCCTTTAATTTTTCGAAATAAAAAGCTTTCACCGAATTTGCGAGCGAGATATTTTTCAATTGCGTGACTCTGGGCGAGAATTCTACCGTTAACATCAAGCACTGGCAGTTGGCCATATGGCATTTCTGAAACTGGATATCGGAAATAAAGCGTATAATATTTTTTTAGAGTAATCGATTGATATTTGTTTGTGCAAAGTGAAACACTGCAAAATCACCTGCATTCTTTTTTTAATGTTGCGGGAACTCCAATGAGCAAAGTTAAACTCATTTAAACAAATGCTCCACCCGCTCGAAGCAGAGCACGATGACAGGTGATGCTGTAGTGGCACGTCAGAATTCGCAGAATCTGGTATTAAGGAAAAAACAGGATGTGTGCTAAAACGCATTTTTGATTCCTTCAAGTAAAAAATACCCAGGCTGGAACGCACCAGGCGAGTCGGTGCGATCATGCGTTTTTGCATCAAAACTTTGAGGT